AGGCAGGCAGGCTTGAGGTTGTATAGTTTTGAGTTTTTTCAGTGAGGTGTTCCATTTTTTTTTTGCGAGTCCCAATCGCATCTATCAGATAGACGTTATTTTGTAGTAGTTGTCCCATTTCCCTGGAAATAGCCCACCCGGAACCAAAAGAGCACCAGTTCCCCGAAATTTGAGAGACCTCGATGCAGCGGTCCAATTGTTGACGACCCGTCATGGGTCGGTGTGAGAGGGCAAGCTTCCAGGCGTAACTCCCCATTCTTTCCAGGGATCCTTATTTCTAGGAAACCACCAAACACCCTGGGGAAATGGCGATCGGTTTTTTTTAAAAGAACGATGGCTGAAAAGACTGGACAAGGAATCAACCCCTAGAAGTCCCTAGAAGGCTGCAAAATTTGGGATGGTAAGCTGAAATCATAATCAAGCTGAGGTCGCACGCCAATTCCTCTCGTTGGTATTGGGCCTTGGTGGTTTTTTGCACGTTTTGGACTCCATGTCTGCGTTTTCCGGTCCACTCAGGGGGGGTGAGGGGGGGATGGGGGGTGGGGCGTGGAGGGTGTGCTGCTGTTCTGTCTCAGCGGCATGAAAAAGTCGTCTTTTTGTGGCGTTTGCCCTTGTGCTTTTGGCTGCAGCTCTTGTGCTCGCTGCTTCGCGATGCTTCGCTGATCTCCCACATTCACGCGCTTAGTCTCAATCGCTCGACATCTCCCTTGTCGGGGCCCTCTCGATTTCGATCTGGCCACGAAATTGCCTTGTCTCCACGCTTGGCTCGCTTACCTTTCTTCCCTTGTCCCCCGCTGCACGGCTGCGCTGCTGTTAGCACTCCCTGTCTGCTTCACTTGCATCTGCTGCACGCAGCCGCAACGTTTCCCTTGGCAACGAGTGGACACGAGTCTAATCCCACCGTCGTTACGGGGTTTTAAGCGTGGACCTCTGGCAAACCCTCCAAAGCACTTGTTTGGAAAAGTTGTTGGCCTCTGAAAAGCTGTTTCACCATCTTGGCATCCAAAGACTTCCATTTGGTTAAGAATATTTATTGCCTAAGCAAATGGAGGAAGACCTCAGCCACTGACCCCATTTGCTAGTGGCAATAGCAGTTGAACTGCGCAGGTGTCAGGAGCTTCGTCGCGACTTGGAGGCAGACTTTGAAAGCCAGGGCAATTTCTATCGCTGGCTGAAAGCGAGGCGGCGGTCGCAGAACCCGGACTGTAAACCGGAGGGTTGGTCTGGGTCGCAGTATGAGGAACTACGAGACTTCCATGCTCGGGCAACGTTGCGCCAGGCTTTTCCAAACTTGGCGTCCCTGAAAGATTTATGATCTCCGTTGCCTGCCATGGCAAGGTTCAAGTCAGGATATTCCAGACTCGGAGTTCCTGAGAGACTTGGGGCTCCTGATCGCGGGAGTGCCTGGGCGCCACCGAGCGAGGTTTTGCGGGAGGTCCGCTCCCGATGTTTTGGTCGCGGGAGGTCGCGCTGTGCGCCGACTTGGATTTGACCGCGCGAAGGCTGCGTCCAAACAAGAGAGGGCTCCATTGATGCGCTGCGGTAGATTTCATGGGTTGACAAACTGCACTTCCCTTTTGGCATGTTGCTAAGGTTCCTGATTTTCATACAGCTCTTTGCCAGGTTGCCAACAGGGAGCCTTTTCGAGGGTAACCTGTTGAGGTTGGTTAGAAAGAACACCAACACAAAAACCACCGATTTTGGGGATCCCCCTATTTGGACGCATACGAAAAGGAGGGGTTGAATGAATGGACTTCAATCGGATCCCTTTCTACCGAGGGTTTTGAATGGCAGTTCGGTTGTTTGGGCAGATCAGCAAAGTCCTGTCAACGCTTTACCGCGAAAAGGCATAGTCCCCAACAATATAAGGAACAATCTTGGCAGGATGAGAAGGCTACTACCCTTGACTCACTTCCTGAGTTTATGAACTTTAAACCTTGTGGGAAGACCATTTTAGTGATAAATATAAAGTTTGGACTTTTTTTGGGCCATCCACTCAGCAAGTGAGAATTTTGAGGCATACTCGTGCAGGGCTTGCCAACCAACCCTTCTTGGTGGAGTTTGTGATGGGAAAATAAAAGAAGCCAGCCATTTGTAGGGGCCTTCTGGTTTGGGGCTAATTTCCCACAACAAATGGGGTTCATACCATCATCGATGTAGTAAAACACATGATGTTGTTTTATCATTTTCTTATGAGCTTCTTTGTAAATACTATATTGTGTTGCTGAATAGAAGAATCCGCTTGATGATAATCCTTCAATGTTTCCTCTCATAATTCATCTCATTTGATGATTAGAACTCACTACTATTCCTCTAGAATATAGAAACAAATCGGGCCATACATGGCCGTCCAAAGGCAGAACCGGAAAATTTGGGCGTGACGATGATGATCGGGGAGGTTGTGCCAGAACTCCCCTCATATCCGGAGTCGGGGTTTCCTTTAAATTGGGCATCCCAACTCGAACAAGGTGGATCTTCCGGGTATGGCTCTCTGGATGGGGGCTGACCTCTTTGCTTCCAATTGTTTCCTCTTTGCTTCCCCACAAAAAATCGGGGGTCGATTTGGACCACCCAAGACAGATGTGGATTCTGGCATGCGATGCCCAAAAGAATGACACGCCCATCCGACCCCTTTTCAATTCCTGGCTACCGAGGAAGGCCAGCACGGAACGCTTTGGCTTTAGGGCGGAAACCCAGGAAACCCAAGGAACGGCGTGCGCAGCACCCGTACAGAACCCTGAAGGGCGGATCTTGGGAACTATCAGACTGGATTCTCAGTCTAAGATCCGCCTTGGGGCGGCCTTTGGTGGTCCAAGGAACATATGAGCATTCGCTCTTATTTTTCATGATCCCTTGTGGAGGTCCATAGCAACATGCAGCCCCAGTTTCGCACGGATGCGGCCTGAACGAGCCTGACCAAAAAAACACGAAGAAAGCAACGCACTTTCCCGGGTGTCCATTTCCTCGTTTAAGACATCCATTTATCACTTCTGCGTGGGGACACTCAATGTCGACTTCGGAGAAATCTGGAGGACCAGAATGAGAGGACATTCACCCAAATGCCAACAGTGAGTCCCCAGATTCGTAGGGATAATCCTCAAGTAAAAATCCGATTTTGACATTAAGATGATTGATTGTGCATTCTGCCTTTGGATTCGAATTCAAATTGGGGCCATGCCCAGTAGTGCCCTTTTACTCTGGTTTTGGAGGCTTCTCCCCTACTATATTAGACTACAGAGAAAAAGCAAAAACAAAAAAACATCGGGTACCCTTCTTCTAACCTCTCCAATCTGGAGGACCTGGTGGTACATGTCCGATTTGTGGCTCTTGACGCCGCGGAGAAACTCCGACGTCCACAGGCCCCGGTCGTGGAGGAGAAGTTCAGCAGGCCCATGTCCTCGCTTTGGCCTGGCGCTCGAGTGGTTGGGTCGGGTGGGTGGGTCGGTAGGGTGGGTGGGTGGGTCTAAGCGGTCAAAGGTTGTGAGGACACCAGCTCTTCGCGCGTGGGTCGCTGTACCCCATGCGCTGAACCTGGATTTTTTTCCGAATCCCAGTTCCAGCCCTGGTTGGTACCCCCTCTTGGTCGTATTGAAAGAAAATCAGGAGGAAACCACCCATCTGTGGAAAATGACGCGCCGCGGGCTTTCGCCCTGGTGTCGTTTTTTCACCCCGGCCGAAGCATCGATGTCTGAGGCCTGAAAGCAGGGCAGGCGATCCACAGAGTGCCCGGACGCCCGGAACGGCTTTGCTTTTACTGAAATTAGCCACAATCAAAACCCGGGTAAGTGAAGACTAGTAAGGGACGATCCCCTTGCCATAAATAGCTGCGGAGATCCGCCTTGGTTCTTGAAGCATGGTTCTGGGTCGACCATGTTTGTACCGGGTTTTGATTGTGACTCAAATGGCGATCCTGGTGGCTCAACCAGCCATCCGGTCCCTTCGGCTTTTGAGTTGGTTTTTCATGGGTCAATGCCGGTTGCATAGGTGTCCTTTTTAGGTTAGTTTGATGAACAATAGATGGCACTGGTTTAGATGGGGTTTCTTCCATTTACCAGGGCCATCTATTTTTCCAAAAGGCCACCTACGGCTGGTTGGGTTTCCGTATCTCACCCAAAACTTAGTCACTTTTCTCAGGGGATCAGAAAATGGACGGCCCAAGTATGAATTTTACTGGGGAATTCCCCTTAAATGTGGTTGGTGAACGTGAATGCCCACCTAGATGACGCCCACCAAAGGGTCCTAGAACGCTTATTTTCCCCACCTAAAACATGCAACTGGTTTGACGGTTTCGCCTTTGTCACTTTTCGGAAACTAGCTGACACCCCGGGAGGGATATATATATATATAGTTTCAGCATCAACTGGGAGGCGTTGAGGAATGCAGAATATTCGGAGACATAGGTATATTCTCTCATGGGGAGGTTTGAATTTGGGATGATCAATGATCTCATGTGCTTCTTGGGCGTCATAGCGATGCACAAAGATGGGTACGTTAATACCCTCCAGGGCATCTCGGGGCGCTGACAAATCTTTGGCCTCGTAGCGTTCTGGTTGGTGAACATGTTTGTCTTTGCTGGTTCCTGATGAATTGAGAGAGGTTTTGGGAGTGAACGGAAAGCGGGTCCCCTTTAATGACACCGCAAGGTGTCCTGTTTTGGAGAGGGTACTTGGTACCCCTTTTTGGGGACACCAAAAGAAAAGCCACCCATTTTTGGGTTTCCAACCTCAAACAAGGCAGCTGGTTTGCACAGGTCACTCCGTGTGCCCTTCCGTGTATTGCGGCGGTACCTTGCGGCTTCCCCCAAAGGGCACATCGCAACAAGCAACCCAAGATGGCTGCCGCGGAAGGGGGGCCGGGGGGGGGGGGGGGGCAGAAGTTGTTACATTTTCTCCGTCTGGGTGCTTTTTGGAGGTTTTCTAGAAAAAGGAGTGCTGGAAAGATTGGGGCAGCTATCGCTAGACCTTTACCCAAACGACGCAAGACCATGCCTGGGCTATGCCTGGGCTATGCCTGGGCTATGCCTGGGCTATGCCTGGGCTATGCCTGGGCTATGCCTGGGCTGTGCCTGGGCTATGCCTGGGCTATGCCTGGGCTATGCCTGGGCTATGCCTGGGCTGCGCCTGGGCTATGCCTGGGCTGTGCCTGGGCTATGCCTGGGCTATGCCTGGGCTATGCCTGGGCTATGCCTGGGCTGCGCCTGGGCTATGCCTGGGCTATGCCTGGGCTGTGCCTGGGCTATGCCTGGGCTGTGCCTGGGCTGTGCCTGGGCTATGCCTGGGCTGTGCCTGGGCTATGCCTGGGCTATGCCTGGGCTATGCCTGGGCTATGCCTGGGCTATGCCTGGGCTATGCCTGGGCTGTGCCTGGGCTATGCCTGGGCTGTGCCTGGGCTGTGCCTGGGCTATGCCTGGGCTGTGCCTGGGCTATGCCTGGGCTATGCCTGGGCTGTGCCTGGGCTATGCCTGGGCTATGCCTGGGCTATGCCTGGGCTATGCCTGGGCTGTGCCTGGGCTATGCCTGTGCTGTGCCTGGGCTGTGCCTGGGCTATGCCTGGGCTGTGCCTGCGCTATGCCTGGCTATGCCTATGCCTGGGCTATGCCTGGGCTATGCCTGGGCTATGCCTGGGCTATGCTGCCCTGGGCTATGCCTGGGCTGTGCCTGGGCTATGCCTGGGCTAATGCCTGGGCTATGCCTATGCCTGGGCTATGCCTGGGCTATGCCTGGGCTGTGCCTGCGGCTATGCCTGGGCTATGCCTGGGCTATGCCTGGGCTATGCCTGGGCTATGCCTGGGCTATGCCTGGGCTATGCCTGGGCTATGCCTGGGCTATGCCTGGGCTGTGCCTGGGCTATGCCTGTGCTGTGCCTGGGCTGTGCCTGGGCTATGCCTGGGCTGTGCCTGCGCTATGCCTGGGCTATGCCTGGGCTCATGCCTGGGCTATGCCTGGGCTATGCCTGGGCTATGCCTGGGCTATGCCTGGGCTATGCCTGGGCTGTGCCTGGGCTGTGCCTGGGCTATGCCTGGGCTGTGCCTGCGCTATGCCTGGGCTATGCCTGGGCTAATGCCTGGGCTATGCCCAGGCTATGCCTGGGCTATGCCTGGGCTATGCCTGGGCTGTGCCTGCGCTATGCCTGGGCTATGCCTGGGCTAATGCCTGGGCTATGCCCAGGCTATGCCTGGGCTATGCCTGGGCTATGCCTGGGCTGTGCCTGGGCTATGCCTGGGCTGTGCCTGGGCTGTGCCTGGGCTATGCCTGGGCTGTGCCTGCGCTATGCCTGGGCTATGCCTGGGCTATGCCTGGGCTATGCCTGGGCTATGCCTGGGCTATGCCTGGGCTATGTATAATTCAAGGTTGGCTCAAAGCCAAGTGGTTTCCAACAGGACGTCAAGCCCTGGAAACTGCGCAACAATCCAAGGTCGACTGAAAGCCACGACTTGGTTTCCCTGAAAACGCAACCTTTTTTTTTAGTTTTCCCCTGTTGGTTTAAAAGGGAATTTCTAGCACTACTGCACATATTGTCCATGTTTTTTTTCCGTCAACATGTGTTGTTTTCCCCTCTTGGTTTTAAAGGCAATTTCTATGACTACTGGACATATTTTCCCATGCTCCTTTTGCAGTGGACTCAAACAAAACGAACTTGAAAGGCATATATCTTCCATGTGTTTTCCTCCATCTTCTCACGTTTCTTTTTCCCTGTGGCTTCCCCGGGCTTCGGGCCGTCCCCTCCGAGCGCCCGAGGTGGTGGCCTTGCCGGTGGACTGCACCGCGGACCTGGCGGTGAGCCGGCACGGCTGGGTCACCACGCCGGCCGGGGGACCTGGCGAGGGCGTGCGTGGAGGGCGGGAGCTCGGCTCCGGGAAGGAGAGACTGGGGGACCCTCCCCTTCCATTTGGTGAAGAATATGGTGTATTTTCCCTTGTTGGTTTTAAGGGGATGCAAATGGAGGTGTTGTATCACAGAAGTGGATTCCATTTCCCACAGCCCGCACAGTCCCTAGAAAGAACATACCGCCCTTGTGGTTCAGGTCATTTTTGGGGTAGAGCACCGCTAGGTTCCCCAGCCAGGTGCCCTTTCTCACCCAACTTTTTTTGGTTGGGAGGGTTCCCCTGCCAAAATAGACGACCGAAAAAATTGGGTACCCTTATTCTAACCTTTCTACTGGAGGATCTAGGAGAGAAGCGGAGAGAGCTTCATTCACTTGCCCCTTTGATGGGACTCAGCAAAAGGTGATCACCTGTTGGGGCCTTCAAGAATGGAGCAACCTTGGAAAACCAGAAGGTCCAGAGGTTGGCTTTGGGTGTGCGGGGGCCCAAACCGAACGAGGCCCAAAGACAATGACAGTGATCCACCGACCTCTTTCCGCTTTTCCGCACATGTCCCCTTACGCTCAGCGCAAGCGGAACGCCACGAGGCTCTCAAAAAAAAGATCCATTGGCGCCACAGCTTGACGTACCAGTTCTTGTTCTGCAGCAATCACATGCTGAGGCAAGCCGCATAAGAAGGGCCAAGGTTCAACTCAAAGGGGTTCTGATGGCCCGGATTGATTCAGAAGCCCGTCCTATGACTAGCAGGGTGTGGGTGTGTGTTTTTCCTCCAAAAAATGGTCTGGACCCGCACAGAGAGGCGACACCCCCCCAATCAAAGAAAGACACATTAAAGAGAACCAACCTACAAAAGGGAATCCCTAAAATATGGAATCCCCGCAAGCGTGGGACCTTTTTCTTGGGTAAATCGCCCAGCACCCCCAACTGAGTCAACATATGGGTGTGTCATGTTTTGAGGGTCCCCTTTAAAGGGAACCCAAGAAGAACACCACCATTGAGGGAACCCTGACTCTTTATGCCCTGCTCATTCTCTATCGCTGGTTGGGGTAGACCTCTTAGCCACTTTTTTTGATGATCTTGTTTGGGCAGATCTTCAGTTAGAACGTCTGTTTATTTTCAACATTTTGAGGATGGGGGCTTTCCACCACACAGGCCCCGGCTTTTGTTCAATGGAAATCTGGTGATTTGTGGGCTTTTTGGACAATTCAACATCACCCTTCTAACATGGCATTCCTTTGGACGTTCCCACCACAGAACTCGCCAGGGCTGAAGAGAACATGAGATCTTTTGTCGGGACCCATCTTTTTCAGGTTCCACGATCGGGTACATTTTCCGTGTGGGTGCAGGTCTCGGTTTAGACTGGGTTTTGGAAAAAAAGTTCTTTTCAAACGGACTTTCTGGTGGTTTGCATGTTGGTGGAGGGCGACTGCAGATTTCAACTTTGGGGAGAAGGCTTGATCAACTGAGGCGGGGCACCTTGCCCCCATATCAAGCGCAATATGGCCATTCAATAGGGAACCGCCTGCAAAGTGGTTGGTGGACATGAACCCCCACCGATTTCTGATGTCCACCAAGGAGTCCCCTGTTAAGTTTCGCTCCCATATCGCACCTGGCACACGGACTGCTGCATGGATTGTGCAGGTTAGACGCTTTCGAGCGTGCTTTGCGTTTCGTCGCACCGTTGCGACCGTTGCAACTGGTCTACGGCTTGATTCCTTGTCCATTCTTTTAAACCATCGTTCTTTTCAAAGAAAGAAAGACCGCCATTTTCCCCTTGGGTTTCAAAGGAGGTTTTCTAGAAAGATCCGGATTTCAGGATCCCTGGGTTTAGAATGGGGAACATAGGTGTCCTTTTTGGTTGTTTTGGTCGAAACATAGATGGGTTTCGATTCCTGGTTTACCTGGTGTTTTGTTTTTTTTTCTCATCTACCAGGGAAATCCATCTCTTTCCCCTAAAAGGGCACCTATGATGGGGAAGCAAAGATCTCCCTGGAACTGGAGCGAGCCCACCGCGAGCTCGCGAACTGCGAACCGCCGCACGGCCCAAACCTAGGAGCGAACCCCGGCAAACAAAAAAGCCATCGCGCGCGTTGCACCTGAAAACCCGACTCGGACACATTTGACGTCGGGGCCTCGGAAGGAGTCACGTAAACGGATAGAAGCGATTGGTGTTCTACCGGATTCCGGTGGATCAGGCGGTATCATGTTTGTTCTTGGTGGGGTTGTGCCTTTGAAGCATTGTTAATCATCACTGGAGTCTCCCCGTCCGAGGGAAAGACGTATGCGGGTTTTGCGATGTTGGAATACCACATTGGAGAGATGGTGCCCCATTTAAAGTGAGGGTGCTCACTTTTGGTTGAATCAATTGGAGACCAGCGCATAGGCATGACGTGTCCCGGGCCCGCTTATTCGAGACCCGGCTTTCCTTTTGTGAGACATACTGACATACCCATATGGACATCCCGAACCAACGGTTGAAAAGGAGCCCCTAGGCCAAGCAAGATCAATCAAGACCAGTGGCAGGGTGTGGGGGTGGGAGGGGGGGGGGGTGGGCGGGTCAGGTGGGGAGGGGTGGGGAGGGGAGGGGAGGTGGTTGTAGGGATTTTGCCTTCAAGACTAGGTTTTGATTCCTCCGTTCCTCTTGAAGTCCGTGTTTGCCACTTCCGCCTTTCAATTCTCCGTGTTTGTTCCCACCCTTGTGCTGCAAAGTTCCACATTCAATCTGCTTCCAGATCGCTGAGTGGTTCCGGCTCCCATTGAAAGGTTTTAAGTTGTTTTCAGTCGTTGTTTGTTGTTTTTGGTTCGTTTTTCAGCTGTTTTTAGTTGGTGTGGCTGGGTGTCCGTATTTTAACCCACAAGTTCGCGACTTTTAGATCCGAACACGGGCAACCAGATCCCTTTTCGTATTTCGGCTCCTTGAAGTCGCCGGGCTTGGAGCTCCTCGAGAAACCTGGGGTTGCAAGATGCCGGGTTTCAGACACCCGGAGCCAAGAAGCAACCTGGAGATGACCTTGGTTCGGTTCCTTAGGCCGTTAGTTTTTTTTTGGGGTTTAGAGGGAGGTTCGATTTCAGCCACTAAAAAGCTAAACAAATAGAAGGGGATCTGAGGACAGCCCAAACGCACAGTGCCCCAAAGTTTTGCGGGCCGCCGTTCCTTTTTGGCTTCCCCGAAAAGAAACCGGGACACCTGCAAAGGCTTCCTTCTGCTCTGTCTTGAAAAAACAACGAACCGTACAGCGGGGGCCGGCGGGGGGGGGGGGGGGAGGGCCGTTTCTTTTTGTTTCCCTGGTGTTAGTTTACAGAGTAGGAAGATCCGGGTGCAGAAGTAGCTTGCCGGGGAGTTCCAAGTTTTGGGGACTGAAAAAACCTCGAAGCTGCCAATCCAAGTCGATTTTTCCAAACAAAAGTCAAGCTCCCAAGACCGAGTTTCTTGCATTTTCTTTTTCAGCTGACGCTCGGTGGTGCTTTCTGGATCTTGGCAGGTCATGGCAACTTGCAGGCCCGTGGTGTCCGTCTACAACTTCGAGAACCCCAAGGAGAAGGCGCGCGACCTCCGAACATCCGACCTCGGCGGAAAAGTCGCGCGGAGAGCGCGATTGGACGCGTGGGGTTTTCTTTTTGGGGCCACTTTCTCCCAAAAAGGGGCCAGGGGCCTAGGGCAATATGGCTTTGGGTCAAACATAGGTGCCCAACATGGAACCCTGGCAAATGGAAACCCGAACTAAAATCTGCGGTCCCCTGGCGGCTTAATTTTGACCCATACCCACATGGCCTTTTCGAAACTTCCTCCCCAAGACCAAGGGGCTTTGGCCTTTCTCTTGGGCGAGCAGTGGAACCGAAGCCTTTGTCAACCGCACCGTGGGAGGACGCTAGGGTCCCTGGAAAAAAGGAGATTGCTGGGAAAGGCAAAGACGTGTCCCCCCAAACGCACGTATATATATACACATACATATATATATATATATATACACACACACATGCAGCTATACACACATATATATATATACACATAATATATGCATATATGGGAGGGAATCAGGGAGGAGTGAATAAGGTCAGGCGCGTTTTCCATGACTTTAGGAAGCTGAGTTTGCCACTCCCCTTTTTCGTGAGCACATACATATACTGGCCTTTGCTTGTGCAATCGTTCGCATGTTCACGCCACCATTCGGGAGCTTTTTTGGGTGGCCCTTTTGAGTCTGCCTTTCTATTGAAATCCGCTGAACGGGACGATTCCTTGAGATGGGAGCCCGCGTTTTTGACGGAACGCGTCTCCTTTCCCGCCAAAGCAAAAAAGACTCAACCCTTCCTCTTCAACAATGCCCAAAAAAAGGGGGGTCGGCTCCAAAATTCTGGGGGTTGACTCCCCATTCTTTTCAACCATCGTTCTTTTCAAAAACCGATCGCCGTTTCCCCAGGGTTTTGGGTGGTTTTCAAGAAAGAAGGGTGACTGGACAGAATGGACATGGAAGGTACCCCTAGAATAATTTTGCCACCCAGAAATCAGGACCACTTGGTCTTGATGTACCCCGCAAGGGTCACAAATAGGTACCCAAAATGAAACTCCATAGGCCGAAGGCGGCTTCCCGAAGCACGGGGCTGATCTGGAAGTGGACGAAAACCGAAAGCCGCCGGACCGCTCGGGTGAATCCTGAGTCCGAAAAAATCCGCAGCTTTCCGTCGGCTCTTGTTTCAGAAAAGGCAGGGGTTACTTCCATTTGGTTAAGACCCTGGACAAAAATCAACATATTTCCAGTAGTGATAGATTCCCTTTAAAACAGCAGCATATACTTGGCCAGGCCCCCCAACTGGGTGCCCTTTCTTGCCCTTCTGGTTGGGAGTTCCCCTACAAAAATAGACGAAACAGACAAAAACTAGGGTACCAACTTGTTCTGACCTCTACTGAAAAAACCTGCTTGGGTTTATCCTGATACAATGGCAGACGCAAGCCCTGCCTTTTTCTGAAGCAAGAGCCGACGGACAGCTGCGGATTTTTTGGGACGCGACCGCCAGACCGGAACTGTGGTCATGCCCCACGTGATGCAGTCCCCTCTGCGCCCAGATCTGGTCCGAGAGGCCCGGAAATCGGTCACTTGAAGCTGGGCACCGAGCTGATTTTCTAGGGGTTGGTTCCTTGTCCATTCTTTTCAAGCATCGTTCTTTTGGAACACCGATCGCCGTTTTTTCCGCGGGTTTCTGGAGGTTTTCTAGAAAGATTCGGATCCCTGGAAAGAAAAAAGAGCAGAAATCGGTCGGTCACTTGAAGAAGCTGGGCATCTTGGACCGATTTATTCCACCGCTATTGGGTTGGATCTTTGGACTTTAACTTTTTGGATTCCCTTCAGTCCCTTCCTTTCAACCAGCAGAGAAGTCAAAAACTTTTTGCCGGAAGATCTACCCAAGTTTCGGCTCGAGGCTTTCCTAGGCCTCGAGACCCGACCTTCGCAGTGAGGGAGGTGCGGCATGTCCCACCTTGGGCCAATTTTTTCTCAAATCGGAATCGGACTCGGAACCCATGGCTTGGCTGCAGGTGGCGCAACCGAAGGCCATCCGGTCCCTTAGCCTTTCAGCTTTTGGGTCGTTTCCATGCACACCCACTGAAAGTTATTCACTTCTGGCCGGGGGGATCCGCAAACCGGGCGGCCCAGTGTAGTCTTCGGATCCGTTTTTTTTCTTCTTTTTTTCCGAAGGGAGTTCCCTGGAAGGTGGGCGTAGTCGCGGGCCGTATGGGAACCAAGAGTGATTTTTTTCCCCAGGTGCATGGATGAAGGTTTGGGACGGTTCCTTGGGTAGATCCCTTCAACGCCAGGTTTTGATTCTGACTCTGAAGGAAATTCTAGATCTCCGCAAATTGGCAGGTTGAACTCTTTTGGGGTCTTCCTTAGAGAGATCTGGGGGTGGGAGGTTCAGCGAACGTGTTGTGAGTGGATATGGCATGATATGGCACAACTGAGGTGCAATGCGTTTGCATTGCAAACGGGAAACCAAACACTAAACATTTGGGTTGAACCAATAATGAACAGACCGCCAGCGACGAGATCTCCATCGTCTTCTGGGTTCCTTTGGAGTTTCCCTGGATTTCCTCTCTGGAAACACGAGTCAAAACGGATCTGCGGAAACACCCAGATAGTGCACAGGATTTGGACCCGTTCGCTGTTCCCCATGTTAGTCCCCGGTTTGGTGATGCTTATCAGTTACCTCATTCTCTCACTTGCCCAAAAGCCGCTTTGACCTTTTCGTTGCCCCCTTTCCCATTTTCAGTCATGGCCCCAAAAGGTGATCACCTTGTATTTCTGGGTCCTTGGGGCAGCTAAGTTAGGGTTTCTTCCAACACAGCATGGTCGGTGGTGCAGCATCTGTCACCTGCTGAATGGGGTTCTGCTTGCTTGCCGTGCCTGACACCTGAGATGGGAGAACCCCAAACTTAAGGGCTGAATGTATACGTCCATATATGAACACCTAGTACGAAACTCTAGTTCGTGGGTCAATCAACTGTTAGGTCTGGCTTACTTATGGAAACATCAGCCTTTGTCAAAACCTTTTATAGTTCTCAAGCCATGCTTTTCTGGTGTTCGTTTTTCCAGGGAAAGTGATTCATGTATGATGTCCCAAGCAAATGCCAGTCAGTGTTTCCCTTTATCCACATAGAAGGAGTTCCCGAGTAGAGGACGGCCGAAAAAGTATGCGCTGCCGCAGGTCCACAGGGACATGAACAAGAACAAGCGCCAGGCTTACGCCGTGAAGGCCAAGGCAGGCTACGACACCGCCGCCGAGTCCTGGTGCACCGGCCGAGCTGTGGCCCGTATCCCCCGCGCGCCAGGCGGTGGAACCCACCGTGCTGGCCAGGCGGCCTTCGGAAACCAGGCCCGCGGCGGAGGCATGTTCAACCCCACCAGGATCTGGCGCCGCTGGCACCGCAAGGTGAACCTCACCAAGAAGCGCCATGCCGTGGCTGTGGCTTTGGCTGCCAGCAGCTTGCCTCCCCTGGTGATGGCACGGGGTCACCGCATCAATGAGGTGGCTGAGCTGCCCTTGGTGGTGACTGATGGCATTGAGAAGCTGAGCAAGACCAAGCAGGCAGTGGAGGCACTGAAGAAGCTCGGCTGCGGTGAGGACTTGACTCGTGTCCTTGATTCCAAGAAGATCAGGCCGGGCCAGGGCAAGGCGCGCAATCGCCGATACGTGAAGGCATGCGGCCCCCTGATCATCTACAATGAGGACCAGGGCATCACTCGGGCCATGCGAAACATCCCGGGCGTGGAGACTGCGCACATCGACCGCCTCAACCTGCTGCGCTTGGCGCCTGGGGGTCACTTCGGCCGCTTCACCATCTTCACAGAGAGCGCCTTCAAGAAGCTGTCGGCCATCTACGGCACGCACAAGAGCGGCGCTCCGCTGAAGAAGGGCTACCACCTGCCCCGGGCCGCCATGGCGAACGCGGATCTTGCCCGCATCATCAACAGCACTGAGGTGCAGTCCGTGCTTCGCCCCAAGAAGGAGAAGGCCACCTTTGCCCCGAAGCGCAATGCCTTGAAGAGCAAGGAGGTCATGGAGGAGCTGAACCCGGGCTCCACTGACCGCAAGGCCGCGCTGCAGAAGAGCTCCGAGAAGGGCACATCCGAGTTCGCGGAGGCGGGACCCGTGCGCTTGACATGGCTGTATCTTTGTTTGAGCGCACCCCGCTTATCAGGTCGCATTACAAGAGACGGCCAAACTCCATAGAACCCCCCTCCCACCCCTATTTTGGGGGATGCATCATCCGTTTTTGAGCCTGAAAGCCCCCCTCAAACCAGCTGCGCCCACAGACGAACTTGAGTGAGTGAGTGGGATGCAGACCATTTTGCAGCGGAGGCTTAGACCTGCATGTTCAGGTCCAGAAGGCCAAGAAGGCACGCATCGAAGAGGCCAAGAAGTACAACAAGGAGAACAAGAAGGGCAACTCGGCTGAGAGATGATGCTGATTATGCAGGAATATTTCACGGACTGATTTGTGTTTCGTTTCACCTCGTGCCACGTCAGGGGCTTTCAAACACGGTGAGTCTGTTTTGGCTTATTCCCTTCGACCCTGTGAATGAGAAATGAGGGCAGACTAGCGAGCTGCAGTGACGCAACCGTTTGAGAGGGATATTTGTTTTTCTCGAATCTAGACATAATTTGGCGGAACCCTATGGAAAATG